CCCCCCCCCCCCCTTATGCATTCATTGGTTGACTCCTGCACCAAGCACCCCAACCAGGGATGCAACCCGCAACCTTGGCACATCAGGATGATGCTCCAACCAACTTAGTTAATTCTCATGACAAGCTTGTGAAGTAGCTACTCTTATCCCTATTCTACAGTTGAGGAAACTGAGGCACAGAGGTTAAGAAAGTGTATTAGCTAATAAGTGGTTGATACAGAATCTGAACCCATTGGCTCCAAAATCAATGCTCTGAAACATGTGGGGCTTTGGCTTTTACTTACAAGGCACTGAGCTAGGTGGAGTGGGAAATGCAAAGATCAGTGAGATACAGCTATCAATGGAGGTAAGACATGGCCTCAGAGTGTTAGAAGGTAGAAGACAGCAAGGAACAGGAAGAAAGGCTCGGGGAAAGCCTTGGCAGGAGATTCCACAAACACAGGAAGGGCAGCACAGTGTGGGGGTGTAGGGGTGTGGGGGTGAGGAGTGGAGTGTCTCTGGTGGGCCAGAGATAAGGGAGAGAGATAAGGGTTGAATGTCCTGCGCACCATCCACTCTGCATGTAGAATCTGAGTGTATTAGATACCTATTGCTGCCTAACCAAATATTGGATAAGTTAGCAGCTTAAAAACACACGTTTTTTTAATCTCACAGCTTCTGTGGGTCAGGAATTCAGGAGTAACTAAACTGAGCGATTCTGGTTCAGTGTTTCTCATGATATTTTACTCAAGATACTGACCAGGCCTGCAGCCATCCGAAGGCTTTCACTTGGGCTGAGATCCACTTCCGAGATGGCTGACTCACACAGCTATTGGAAGTGGATCTCATTTTCCTGACACATTAGCTTTTCCACTTTTCTCAGAAAGTAAAGTATCTTTCCAGAAGCCATCCTTTTACTTCATTGGCCAGAACTAGGTTACCTGGCCACTCCTAGTGAGGGAAGCTGGGAGAGTATTAGACTTTCCAGCTAATACATTGGAAGCGAGGCAGAAGGAAGTCTGTGACTGGCTGTTGGGTTAGTCTCCTCCATGACCACCCAGCCCGGAACCGATCACGGCCAGGGGCATGGAAGTCTCTAATTGGTAGGGCCAGGTCCATCAAACTCACATGAGCCCATGAACCAAGCAGGGTTTTGGAGGCAAAAGAGCAGGATGTTTGCTCAAAGCAAGGAGATGTATTTGCCCTGGCCGGTTGGGCTCAGTGGTTAGAGCCAAGGGTCTCTGGTTTGATTGTGGTTCGTTTCTGGTTAAGGGTGAGTGCCTGGGTTGCAGGCTCGATCCCCGGCCTGGTCAGGGTGCATGCGGGAGGCAATCAATCGATGTGTCTCTCTCTCCCCGCCTTTCACTCTCTCTGAAAAGCAATGGAAAAAATATTCTCTGGTGAGGCTTTAAAAAACAACAACCAAGGGCATATTAGAGAGTACAAAATCATCCGTCCACACACAGAAAATTCTCAGACAGGCTAGTAAGCCAGGACAGGGAAACTGAGACTGATAAACGGCCAAGCAGTTTACAGCCATCTGGAAAGGGCTGAAAGCAGCGGCTGCATGCCAGGCCCATGTTATCTGATGTGTTTGAAGATTGGAGCTGGAATCTCACTGGGAAACATCTGCAATCCTCATGCTGAGATGAGATTTCTGACTGAATTACAAACAAACTATACCAAGGCCCTGGCTGGGTGGCTCAGTTGGTTAGAGCATCAGCCCCATATGCCAAGGTTGCAGGTTTGATCCCCGGTCAGGGCACAAACAAGAATCAACCAATGATGCATAAATAAGTGGAGCAACAAATCAATCTCTCTCAAAAATATAAAAAAATAAAAATAAAAAATTATACAAACCCCGAGGCCAAAGCACAAGTCCCTCCAACTCTGAAGGGATGAGCTCCACCGCCCTGTCTCATCAAGATTAAACCACCTGAATGAAGCTGGTCTGGAGCAGCCCTGGGCCAAGGGGAGGGGCAGGCAGCCCAGGGGCCCTGGGTGCAGGGCAGTCACAGGACCTGGAGAACGTGGCCGCCCAGCTGACTGTGGACAGCTTGGGTGGTGTGTTCCCATTTCCGTAAAATACAATGTAAGTATATTCAAGGAAAAACAGTTTAGTCTGGTGGAGAGACCAGAGACCTACCTTTTTCTCTAGTATGGGTTGAGCTTTAAAAAGAAAAGGCAGAAAAGCACCAATCGTATTTAAAACAACATAATAACTGTAATATATAGATAAGTGACATCTTTAAAAAACCAACAAACAAAGCCCCAAAGAAACCGAAGGCAAACCCAGGCCCAACCCCAGGGGACTCAGGAAGGGATTGTGCCAGCAATAAAACCCAGCCCTAGCCCCAGGGCTTTGGGACCGCCTTCCAGGAAACCAGCCACCAGCGCCTCCAGGTCGCCCCTCTCCCGCTCAAAACACGCCTCCCGCGCCCCAGGCCTGCAGAGAAAAGAAGGTGGGTGCCCCTGAGGGGCCCAGAGCCCGGCCGCGCCGTG